CGGGTTCTGGAACACGAGGTCATTTCAGCCGCGAGCCGTGACGGAGCTGAGGGGCGACGCGGCGCTCGGGCGGCGGCCACCGCGGGGTGTGAGCCGGGGCTGCTGCTGTCGCCGGTGGACCTGCGCCGACACCCCGGCCGGAGCTTCCCCCAGGCCGTGGTCCCAGCCCTGCTCTCCCTGGGTGGTACCTGGGAGCACCCGACCCCCAGCAAAAGCTCGAGAAGCCGCGCCCGAGCCGGGCTCGCCTCAGGCACCCAGGGCCTTGGAGTTCGAGCGCGTTATAAAGTGTCACCGGGTCGGTGGGCGGGAGGGGCAGGGAGCAATCCCGTACCGACGGTCAAGTTAACGTTTTAAATTCTTTAAATATACAACGGAAATTTGACAAAGGATTTCCCTTCCCCGGGAGCCTGCAGTGGGCCCCGCAGCCCAGGGCTCAGGCTCCAGCCCTGCGTCCCCGGCGGGCTCGCGGCCATGGCTGCTCTGCGCACGTGGGCGGTGCGCAGGCTTCGGAGGTCTTGGCGGGAACCAGAATGTAAACGGCCTCGTTGACCAAGTTANTTAGAACATCACAGAAATTAACTTCACCTGTTCTCTGTCTCAGTGTGGCCGCCTGGAAACTTCTCAGTGGTCTCTGCGGCCGTCGTTTCTGCTGCGCGGCGCTGGGCGGGGACAGACTCGCGTTTGAGCCTCGGCTCTTCTGCGCGTTTCCTGCCCTCCTGTAGTCGGGGCCGCTTTGCCTAAGGACCCAGCGCAGGCCTGCCCTTGAAAGCTTGAAAGCCTGAGATCCAGAAACGTCAGTAAAATCCGTGCTCGTGAAGATGGGCAGTGGCGATGTCCTTCCCGAATCGGAGAACAGGAGCCTTGGGAGCTCAGGGCCGCCCGGCCCAGAGGAGGGACGGGCTCAGCCCGCGGGGCCCCAGCCTGCCGTGGACGGGCAGCCGCGCAGCACGACCGCCGAGGGTGGGTTTCGCATGGAACGTGCTGGGGGCCGAGTTGCTTGCTGAAGACAGTTCAGAGGGACTGTATTTGCGGATGGAGTCAAGGTGGATTTTACATAGGAGGCGACTTTGTTAATGTCCTGGTAGAAAAGTTAAGGTTTACAGTACGTGGTCAAGAGGAGAAGAGCATATCAGGTAGAGGGAACAGCTTTTCAAAAAAAAAGGGAAGGAAGAGAGATCTTGATAGGAAATTTAATATTTGATTACTAGACAAGAGCATATCAAGTGAAAGGAAAAATAAAAACAAAAGGGGAAAGGTGCTAAGTTGGAGTTACTTCCCACTATGAAAAATATCTCTGATCCACTTAGACCTTGAGTTCTAGGGGTTGGGGGCAGATAATAAACCCATAATCAGAGAGGTGAGGATTCCAGGTTGTGGTTAAGAACCATGAATAAAATAAACTAGGTGTTAGAATTATGGGGAGGTCAACTTTGAGCTGAGACCTAAGACTCTTCTGTGAGATTTGGATTTTGTCTTTTTGTAAATGGGGAAGCCATTGTAAGTTTTAAAATAGAATGAGATTACATTTATGTTTTTAAAGATCACACAAAGGGTAGGGAATTAATTTGAACTGGGAGAGATTTCCAAGTTGGAGGGTAGATGAGGTGGATCTTGCCATGGTTCAGGTAAGAGAAGATGAAGCTTGAAATGATGCCTGGCCGGGTGTGGCTCAGTGGTTGAGCGTCAACCTAGGATTCAGGTGATCGGGGTTCAATTCCCGGTCAGGGCAAATGCTGGGGTCTTGGGCTCGATAAATGACACTCTCATCATTGATGTTTCTCTCTCTCTCTTCCTCTCCTTTCCTCTCTCTGAAATCAATAAAGATATATTTTTTTAAAAAAAGAAAGAAATGAAGAAGGGACCACGTTGAGAGAGATTTGGGGTGATATAGTTAATCCTGGTTGTGGGAGGTAATGGAGTGGAAGAAGACAAAAATGATTACAAAGGGCCTAGGGAGGGTAACAGTGGAGCTACCAGTAAATGAAATAAGAAACAGGGAAATAACTCAGTGAGTGGGTGAGATCGTGAGAGCAGTTTGATGTGGGTTGATTTTGCAGTGCGTGTGAGACCTTCAGAAATGTCTATCAGGCTATTGAAAACATGCTTCAGGAGCTGAAGAGAAAAGTCAGAGCTGGAGATAGAGATTATAAACTGAAAGGGACTTAAATATACATCCAGTCACTGCAATCTAATACAACTAAAATTTCACAGTAGGGGGTGTTCAGGAGGCAGCTGATCCATGTTTCTCTCCGCCTCCCTTCCTCTCTAGCATCAGTAAAAACATTTTTAAAAGTAATTTAAAATTTTAAAAAGCCACTTTTAAAAAAAAGTGAAAAGACAAACCATAAAATGGGAGAAAATATTTGTGTATCATTTATCTGATAAGAGTCTTATATCCAGAATATATAAAGAACGCTTACAACTCAATAACAAAAGTGCAACAACCCAGATAAAAGGTGAGCCAGGAACTTGAATTTACATTTCTCCAAAGATGATGCACAAGTGGCCAGCAAGCACATGCAAAGATGCTTAGTCACAAACAGATACTTCATTACCATTAAAAACACGCACACAAAATAGCAAGTGCAGGAGAATTAGAACCCTCGCGTTGCTGGGAACGAAAAATGATGAGGCCAACTGTGGAAAACAACTTGGCAGTTCCTCAGTAAGTTAAATGCAGTTACCATATGACAGCAATTCTACTCCTAGGTATCTACCCAGAAGAATTGACAGTGTTCAAACAAGAACTTGTACACAGGTGTTCATAGCTGTATTCACAACTTTCAAAGGCAGAAACAACCAAAATGTCCGTCAACAAGTGAACGGTTAAACCAGATGTGGTCTAAGGGAATATTCAGCCATAGAAAGGAATGAAGTGCTGATACGTGCTATGAGATGGATAAACCTTTGAAAACATGCAAAGTAAAAGAAGCCAGACACAAAGGGCCACATGTATGATTCTGTTTAAATACAATATCCAGAATAAAGAAACCCACAGAGATGGATCAGTGGTTGCTCAGAGCTGGGGGGAGGGGATGAAAGGGAGTGACTGCTTAATGGGTACATGGTTTCCATTGGGGGATGAAAAGTTCTGGAGCCAGATGGTGGTGAGTGAGCAACACTGAATGGACTTAGTGCCTCTGAACTGTACACTTTACATGGTTATGACACATTTTACGTTGTATGTATTTTACCACAATAAACAAATAGTGGTTATATTCAGATTACATTATCTAAAGGGGTGAAATAGATACACCATTAAACCTAAACGTATTTCTCATTCTGTGTATTTCTGGGACTTAGAGGACATTTAGAGCTGGATGAGACCATAGGGATTGATCACTTATGCCTATATTATAGTTTGTTAAAAATATTCGGCAACTTTCTAATGTCGCAAATACTAGAAGTATTCCTTCTGTTACATGAGTTTTTCTACCAAGAAGTTCCTAAGGCTCTCTGACTCATTGGTTGGACCACTCACCCTGAACTAGAAAAGCAGCCTTGTGGAAACAAATCACATCTAACTGTGACTCAGCAAAGCATAAATCATCCTAAATTATTTCTGTTTCTAATACCACTGGTATTTGGGCCATAACTAATGGTGTAAATTCATTAGCCTACATGTTCAAATAATATATAGTCTGATTTTCCCCATACTATAAATTACTAGAAACATCAGTATGCAGACTACTTAGACTAAGAATGAAATAGTAAATATTTGTTGCAGATACCTTATCAAATTTACCTTTCAAATACAGTTTTGATGAAGTTGCCATGTAGCTTTTTATAATGATTTTACTTAATGAAATATTTGCATGCAGGGGGAAAAAAATTTTCCAAAAACTGGGAAAGCAGATTTCAAAGCCATTTTTGAAATTACATCAAAGTCATCTCTGGCTCTGTGAAGGGTTATGGCACGAGGTCCTTCCAGTTCACTGTGTCACAGGATTGTTCTTGAAGAGATACTCTGCCTGTAAGTGAAAGAAGAAAGACAAGTCAGCAATTAGAAGGCATTACAAGATATTTATGAGTCATGCATGTGTACTTTTAATGTCTACCATTTAAAAGTAAAAGTATGTAAATCTTTTACTTTCAAATGAGTAATAAAATAAAAATCTTATGCTAAGTGATATAAGCCAGTCAGAGAAAGACAAATGCCGTATGATTTAACTTATATGTGGAATCTAATGAACAAAGTAAACAAAATAGAAACAGACTCAGATAAAGAAAACTGAGAGCTGTTAGAAGGGAGGGGGTTAGAGGCTGGGTGAAAAAGGTGAATGGATTAAGAAAACAAACTCATCCAAGCAGACAGCCGTGTGGTGGCTGCCAGAGGGAACGGGATGGGCAGTTGAGCGCAAAGGGGATAAACCGTGATGAAGGAGAGGAACGGGTGGTGAACACAATACAGTATACGGAGGATGTATTGTAGAACTGTACACCTGAAGCCTGTATAATTTTACTAATTGGGGTATTGTTACCCCAATACATTCAATAAAAATTTGGTTTAATCTTATAAACTGTGAAGGTATTAGAGGCTATTTCCCAAATACCAGACACACAATTTCTCTGTGTCAACTGGCTTCCCGTATAGATTCAGGTATATTTTATTTTCAAATTGATACTTAAAATACATCCTAAACCTCTTACCAGAAAATCAACAGGATCCTCTGGCCTGACCTTGCAGCACTCATTGAGGCCCTGCATGAGCGTTGGCATGACATAGGTCATCAGGTAGTTCCTCAGGGGGGCAGACTGAGCCTCTAGTAATTCTCTTTCTTCTTTTTTCACTTCCTCTAGTCGTTTATTCTACACATAGGACATTTAGGGGTGGGGTAAATAGTCAGAAAAGGGAGAACACTCACACAACTCACCCCACAATGCATTAGAACTACATCGTGCTTTAAATGTTCACCACGTTATTATAAAGATGGCATTTCCAACCAGCAGGGAATAGATATAAATGGTGTTATAACAATGGGCTAGTCATGAAAGGGAGGGAGGGAGGAAGGGAGGAAGGGAGGAAGGGAAGA